GAGGCGCCGAAACATAAATTTTAATCAAACTTTCTTCTATACGACTCCTCCTCGCGTATGGAAATATATAATCTTTCATGCCATTCCGCTGACACTGGTTCCACTCGATTCCAACTACACCTATCTGTTCCAGTTCATCGTACATTCAAGTTTCGAGCCTCTTTAAATCCCAAACCTATAATTCTTTCAAACAGGTTACCAGATTCACAGTTGCATTATTAACCACCGTAACCACCAGGTCTCCCATACTTGTGTTCAAATGTAATTTAGAGATTCGAAATTTTGTGGAGAACATTTGGGTTTGAAACAGCTTACGAAGCCGCACTTGAGATAGTACAAACTGAAGAGGTGAAATAATTTGAACAAGAAATTCTTGCTTTTGCGAAAAGTTATTTAGACAGTCAGCTTCCCCGGGAGGATTATAGAGAACTCCTCGAGAGTTAAATATAATTTTCCACCGCGGTGTTCCTCCTTTATTGGAATATCTTTAAACGTTTCAGGGACCAGCCATTGCACAAGGCAGATACAAAAGCAATTTATTCTTTAACAATTCTCTTATTTCGTGATCATCGTTTCAACTATCAACGGAAAAGAAAAGCAAAAATACATTTTTGCAAGGCAATCAATGATCAGACGGTTTATTGATAAAAAGTTGCTACAATTTGTATTGTTCGATAGAAAATGACCGATCGTAGCTTTTTAGTCGGCGAAACGCATGCAGTTTTTGTTCTTTGCCGGTTATTAGAAACGGCGCGGCGCGGAGGCATAGCTACGCGTATTTCCTATTCAACGCGCAACTCTCGATCGGGGTAAAGCTTTTTTATCGTATCCCGATAGGTTGCAGAGCTTGATCAAGCCCGAGCGATAACGGAGAAGTATCCAATTACAAACGGATTAGCAGCCGGCTAACCCGCAATGAGAAAACTCGTTGCTTAGCGAAACGACGAGCCAAGAGTTTCCAGATTCCGTTCCCTCGAGCCTAGTTAATCGACGATTTGCCGCCAACCAGCCGCCATCGACACCCCATCCTCCACCTCTTTTACCGCTCTTCACATTTCACTTACATTATAATTCCACTACAAGTCATTTACTTTTCCTCCCTACAAAAGTTTATATGTATATTCGCATCTAAACGAGAGCTTTGTCTATCGTTGCTTGTAATTCATTTCCAAGTGGTATACCAGTCCCTATATTTACAGCTTTAAAAAATTAGTCGAGTTAGATGCGCTGTTCCCCGTGACTCGCGAGGCTTCTCTCAATCTACCCTTTTACTGCGTTGAACTCTCCTTGTCTTATCGCGTCGAGCGCTACGAAATTCTCGAATCTCTACCTCTTGGACGGTAGATGCATTTTTTATACGGCCAGACTAGCCTTTTTACTTTCGATTTACGAATACCGTCCCGATAAACAGCTTAATGGTTTTCCAATCGCCAGTAGTTTTATCTTTACTAACGTTTACACGAAATAGCAGGTACGCGTATACAATTTCCTCTTATTCCATGTTGCAACGATGTGTTAAACCAAAGAGGCGCAAGAATACAGAATTTATTTATTTAAACGACAAGTAGCGTGCGCGCCTTATGGCCCGACCGGAGACTCGTTTCGCGAATACACGAGTTAATAATTATTTTGAATAAAAAGAAATTTAAATGCCCAGTCGTTGGAATCAACTTTCGGAATGCTGATGATTAACCGATGCGACTGCATTGTTATCGATATTTTGCAACTTCCGTAATTGTATCGCATTATACGCGCCAACTCGCAGCGCGTAAAAGTTTTAATTAAATCTTGATCTTTAGGGTCGCCAGGTGCTTACCACCTACCATTACTTTGAACGACAAACAGGATATTTTCCCAACTTTATCTAATCATACGTATGTATAGTTGCTGCCTTGTAATCTCGTCGTTGGTTTAAACTTTTCCAACGGGCGTGATATTTCGCGGGTTATCAAAATGCAGAGACCTGGGATTGCAAACTAATTTACCAGAGAGATTATCATCGATGCCTCGAGAGTATAGAATCAATTTTCGCGTTTTCGAAATATATCAATCGTACCGTCTTTTAGACGAATGCTCGCGTACGAAATCAATACATATGTACCTACATACATACAGATGGAACGGATAAGAAGAATAACCGCTCCATTATCTAGGAAATCAAGATGTAGCAATTCAGCGTTTCTCTTCCTCGATAGAATATGTATGTATGTATGTATCTGACGGCTGGCATTATATTGTACATATAAGGGCAAATCATTCTTAATCGTAAACGGGGAGATATTCGAGCCGTGACTGATTAATGAATAACGAACAGACCTACTACTTTGGCCCAGCGTATTTTTCTACATATTTACAGCGCATCTGTTATCACTAGAGCAGAACTAGACCGTACACTGAACGTCGAATATTGGACGGACTCGGAGAAACGATGAAATTACAATACATAAGTGCATAAACGGTTTCAGAGCGACACAATCGAGAAATACATGCACGTAACGATTCTGCTGGTCGATTAACGAAATACACAGGCCACGTCAAAGAGACACGTTTTCCCCGCACGAGTTTCGTAAAAAAACGGGGGAAAAAACCTATTTCGCTCGTTCATCGGATTTTAATTGCGTTCGGAGTCGTGAATTTATTTCAAAGTTTCCTCTCGTTGGTTATTTATTTATTAAAGAGATTTTAAAAAGATTTATTAAACGGCTGATCGTTGATTGTACGGCGTATTGTTTGTAAACGATCGATCGTTTCAGCCGGCCTGTTGCTCTTGAAAAACGACGCAACAACGTTACGCTAATTTCGAATAACGCGAGTTGCACGCGGCAAAACGTTAAGAAAACGTACGATCGTTTGAAGAAAATAAGCTCGGCCCTTTCTAGGGAACAAAGTTACCTACACTGCGGATATACGAGTATGTATGTACATAGGTGCGCTCGAGCAACGTTTCGAACAAGTGGTTACTTAATGTTTTCACAACATTGGTCCGCGAACTTGAAGAGCTTACGGACGACGATGGTACAACTAATTTGTGAGTGTGGAGACGTTTGTTGTCGGTAGGTTTCCGATAAATTGCGTAAACGTTTGTCGCGAACAAAAGCACGAGATCGACAGGGTCGAGCGGCGATCCGAGGTTCGCTACGTTCAATTATCTCGGGGACTAGACAATTCGAGACGGAAGTTTGCATTCCCTAAGGCGACCAGGCAAATTCGGTGCTGGCAAATTAAAGCGTCGCTTTATTACGGACACCGGAAGGGTGGAGGGTGACTTTGATACGTGACGAGGAACACTACACGGTTACTACCGCTGCCAAACGTCGGCATCCTCCTCTTCTCGCGTCGAATCGTAAGCGAATCGAATGGCCTGTACGTGTTTGATAATTGGCCTCGTGTACCTGAGATTAATTTTGCCCGGGTACATTCATGCGATGGTACATGCTCTTGCGTTCGATTCAACGCTCTTCTCTTCCTACCGAAGAATATCGAAACTTATCGGGTATTCGATACACGACGCAACCGTTCGCTTCGCTCTCCATTGTCTCGTACCACGAGAATTTCCAAATAACTTTCTCGTTAGCTCGCGTTGTTCCCGTACAATAATAACACCCTCGTTTAAAATTAACTAACAAGCCGTATAAAAATACTCTAAACCATCCATGTTTCGAAACCATCGATTTTCTCGCCGAGGCTGTAACTTTAAAATTCATATTTAGGACATTTATGGGCTACTACAGTTACATACGATAGGTACGCATTTTTTTCGAGAATTTTTACGAGCTTCTTAACATATTGAGAACCTATCTACAAACATTCTCCTTAAATATGTACAATAGAACTGTATGCAATGTGAGATTAAAGATAACATTAAGAGGATCTGGACGAAATGTTTAGAAAAAGACACGTAACCCCGAATCTTTCGACAAATCGAAAATATAGAATGATACTCTTTCGACAGGATACTTTTGTTTTCAAGAAAATTCATTTTAATCGTTTCCATGGTGCGATCAAGCACGATTCGGCGAGCGCGTCTGATCATTACTCGACGTTTCTACTTGCCTCGGTGTTCTTAAATATTGATCGTAGTGTGGCGATATTGTTTGTTTTTCGTTCTGATTACCGTTTTCCGAGTGGTTACGACACGTTCAAACAAACTATGCCTTATCGACGTCGATGGTTTATTATTTAGCACTTGACACAAGTAGAAATGACGAGCAATGGTGAAACGCGCGTACCTAAGAAAATTTCGATCTCGATAACAAACTTTTCACTATATCTTTTTCATAGAAAACTAATGTTAAATATATTATCGTGACATTGCCTTTGTTCCATCGATGCTGTTTTAAATAATATTCTTCTTCTTTTTCCTCGCAACATTTTGTCACGAGCGGACGCGTGTCGTTATTTTCATGCATTTCCTCGTTTTCGTTCGAATTTTAATAATTGCCCGTGCACGGCAGACCTTGAGCGTTAAAATATCTTTCGAATCCTTTGAAGCGAAGGATTCAGTATGCGTTATATCTGCCAATATTGTACAAACGACGCTTCCTATTGTTTCAATGAAAGTTTGTCTTTGGAAGATACATAGAGCGTATGTAGCACGTACATACAAAGGTACACGTTGACTGTAGCTACGACAGCCAGGAATACAGGAATGCTCAAAGAGTTTTAAAAAGACGGTGCATGTAAAAAGTATCCTAGCCAAGTTTCAGAATAAATAAAAATAATAATAAAAAAAAAGAAAATGTTAAAGTTTCACAATTAATATGATTACTAGGCGATGTTGCAAAGTACAATACATCGGAGAGAAATCGTTAGACGAAGTTTATCCAGCAAAACGGATGTGAAACGTGGACAGTATAAATTACCGAACGAGCGAAATTCTATTCCCCCAGGAAATGTTGTGAAATTTCGTGCGGTGAAAAATACATGAAAGAAAATTTGGTACATGCTCGAACTTGGTGGTCGAAGGTTGTATTAAAAGATTGTACGAATGGATCTCCTACCTTTCTCAGGTGGATACAAAAGTGTTCCAACCAAGCAGAGAGGTCGTTTACTTGGACGATCTGCTCGAAACGAAGAATTCGTCGGTCAGTTCACGGAATAAAGGGTGATTCAAAGGTAAGACCTGCTCGATGTGACGGACAACGATGGACTGACGCTCCGCGTGCTTCACCTTATACATAGGCCGGCGTAGTGACGTCACAGATCACTGGGACCAATGGGAGACACCGGAGCTTGCACCTCCATCGGGGACAGAAATATAACCGTACCCCTTCCGTCATGTATGCCGGGGAGAAACTTGTGGTTTTCTCGATATCCACTGCCCACCGTATTTGGATAACCAACGACTCCCCCCCTTCCTCTCCCCTGGTTTTCCCTCTTGCTTTTTTCACCATTCATTCACATTATCGACAATATTTTCGAGACGCGACAGGATCGATAAATCGATCGAACGTTCTATCATCGTGCAACAATTAACACCCGATTCACGGACATTGATTGCACATTTTTTTATCATCGAAACCCTTCGTGTTGGCCAGACGGTTTCATTAAAATTCGCTTTTCCTTTTCACTAACTTTTTAAACATGGAATCTCCCACCCACCCAAATTTACTAAGAATCTTTATTCTTTGCTTGTGTACAACTTACAACCCTCATTCTGGTCTGCGCTAAAGGTTCGCGAAATAAGAGTAACTTGAAAAAATTTTAACATTCTGCTGTTATGATTTGGGGAACGAAGAAATTCATCCCTCGTTTGTTCAACCGATAACGTTGCGAATAGAAATTTCGAAACGTAGGCGATATTCTATGAGCAGAACGATATCGAGAGGAATTTAGCCATTTTGGATAGAATTGTTAATGCACGGTTACCTAACAATATCACGAAATGACATTACACATTGTTTATATTCGATATTAGACATGATTAACGCAGTTAATACCGAGCTCCGATGAATATTCATACCGGTTTCTCCAATCTAGCGGGGATCCTTACCAAGTTACACGTATAGAATCGAATAGATACATACATGTATCAACCGACGATGTAACTTTGTACCGTCGATCGAATAATTCGCTTTCTAACTATGTGCAAAAGTTTGGAGAAATCTTTATTCGTCTAGACATTGTTCAATTAATTCGCAATGGCAAGTTTATATTGCAGAACGTTAGGGACACATTTATTTTACTATCGAGACGAGATAAAGCCTTTAAAATAAAATGAAAACACTGTTCGATAGATAGGCAAGATCGTGGAAACAGATGCTCTCGTTGTCGACACGGGAGATCGAACACGAGTATCGCATTAGTGCTGCTTAATCGTAACCGTATTATTTCGAGAAATTTGTTCCTGAAATCGAGACAATATTTATAACCGTACCACGCTGTGTGTTTTTCATTCGATAATCCGCGATATTGAGCGAAGAATGGGGCTCGAAACCAGCTTGTTTATCGATCATCGAAAAATATACATATGTAGAAGGGTTACGAGCGTAGACACGCATGACGCAAAGTAACTTGGGGACGATATATGTATCTCAAGAAAAATAGCATGTCAGCTTTTCTAATGCGATAAAATAGGGAAGACGTGCTTCTTTTACGAGTTTAAGATTGTGAATTTCGATATCGATTGTTTCTCTCTCTCTCTCTCTCTCTTTCTTGCTAACAAGCATATTGTTATTTAAATAACGAGATGAGGTAACTGGTTGTCAAAATCGAGAATGTATAGTTGAGAGATTAAAAGGTAAATCCTGGAAAGCTAAAACTGATCAAATACTTTTTATTTAATATTCGCCCAGTGTACTATGATTTTTGCATCAAACTTTAATTGGGCAAATAAATCACAAACTCGAGTTTTCGTCGTGTCCTTTCCATCGGATCAAAGTCTGTTTGTTTTGCTCTCATCTGACTAAGATTACACGTTTGATGTAACTTGGTACGTGATTGTTGAAATTCCCGACAATATTCCTTCGATGCTAATGTCGATATTATTAAAGCTTTTTAATCCATTCTTTACTTATATGGCAGATTATATCACGCTTTATTGTATCAGAAAATGTTGCTTTTCGACCAACTTTATCGTCGTGGGCAATAATTTAAATACACTATTAATTAACTATATAGATGTGTATGCCAGCATCGAGGGAATTTGAACAAACAGACAAACGAGGTAGCCTTTGTTCGAGTTTCAATCGTTCCAAGAAAGTCATATTCCAAGGAAACTTTAAACAATATTATCGTGTGATCGATTTCGCGAGTCACCGCATACATTGTATAGCTGACGTTGTTGGTCGAGACAAAGATTTTCGATTAAATGAAAGGAAATCAACTGTATTCTTAAAAAGTTTGAGGATATTTGGTATGCAGTCCATAGGAGAGAAAAGTGACATTAGTTACACGGTCGATCTACCATGGTCCCGCGCCGTTACCATCCTCTAAGAAAGAAACTACACCCTAGTGGCTACTGCTTGCGCTTTCCACGATTCCTCTGTAGCATAATTTTCAACTTTACAATTTTTATTCGCTTATTATACGTTGCGAAAGAAACACGGCCTTCGGTTGTTCATTATCAAAGGATATTGCGACCATTCTGATCACAATATACGAATACATATGCACGTATGTTGTACGTACTCGTGTACAGTTTAAATATTTCTCAAAATAAATTATAATATTGTTTTAAATATCTTATACTTCCCAATGTTTAGTTAATGCACAGAATATTTACATGGGCGTACAGTGAATATAAAAATAGCCAAGAACGTAAATTTAACCAAAAGCAGACATCAATATACGTGGGGAGGAGGTTTTTGGTTTTATTTTATTATTTCCCCCTGTTACGCGTTCCCTAGGCTCACGGTGGACGAAGAAATCGTTCGTTTTATTTTATAAATGTACCACGGGGAACGTTGCACGAAACATCGGCTAGGCAAAAGTTACGCGTGCATGATATCGCTGTAATAAAAGTGCGTCGAGACATGCAAGGAATCCCACGATCGCTCTGCGAAACATTTACAAGTTAAAAATGAAGCGTTTCGCGATACGATCGCGGCCAACGTGAACGCGGTAAACCGAACTGCTTGACGAAATTAAAAGCAGCCAAGAAAATTTATCAAATTAACGAATAATTCGCGCCAATGCTGAGAAACTGACAATTGTTCCACCGTTCGAGTGATAAATGCGACGTGTCACGGTTCAAAGGGATATACATTGTGTACCGCGGTGGCTCGACTTTGAACCTTACACACAGCCACGCACAATAACGACATGGCGGGAACAAAACGACGCGACGTCCCGTTCGTACGAGGAAAAGTTGCTCGAGGCGACTCTAACGTAGGTCGGACAATTCTGTGTCTTATCGACGAAATTGCAACTGATCAGGTTCGTTGACGGAGAAAAGCCGCAGGCTCACCAAACGAGGTTCCTTATTTATCCCGTTTCTCCCACAAACGAATTTCATATCACCAAAGATCCTGTTATCGTCGAAACTGATAGCGAAACGTTCGATCCGGACCGATTTTCATCCAACTGGTCTCAAAGATAGTTTTTCACAGACTTAAATCAAATTTTTTCCTCTTTTACGTTTATTTAGAAACAAATGCGAAATAATTTGACCGAAATAGACACATATATTGATAGATACATGGATATAATTTGAGTATGTAGAAACTTTGAACAAGATCGCGATAGTGACTTTTTCACAACCTGGAGACGAAAAAGGTCCGTTTCAACTAGTAAAATACCACGTTGGATGATTTATCATAGATCAAGGTTTGTCTAGATTTTTATTCAAACTCAACGCACGTATAGGAATCGAAAACAATCGATCGTACTTGCGACATCGATGATAATAAAGTTCCATCGATATGTAACTTTAAATCGTATCGTGTTTGCTAAACGTGCGAGATGAAATTAATTCGTTTTAGAAACTTAATTCAGGAGTTGCTTGCCAACCACGTTTCTACGCGCGAATAATCCTACGAGTTGAATTTAATTATTACAGTTACGTGTTTGAAAATTATTGTCGTGTTGTTTGTCCGCCGTAACAGTCGAGCTCCCGAAGAGCTTGGTAAATAAGAGATTAAATTTGAAATTGAAGATCAAGGAAGCTTCAATGAGTGCAATAATTTGTTTAAGTGGCACCTGTACTTAACAGATTTTAATTATTGGTAAAAGATACTTTGGACAGTTTCAGTGTTACGAATGAGAGATATGATTTTATCCTCTTGACGAGCATTTTCTACCAAACGGTCACATTGAATACAACCCTTTGTCTTTCGCGATACTTTTTTCCCTCGCTTGATACGAGCAAGTACCTTATTTACTTGCCAGACGAGCTGACATGCTAGATGAAACGAGACCACGTACAATATCTGGTAAGTTCATCATGAAAATACCAAGCAGAATGTAACTTGTTCTTCGTCGCGTCACGCCTCGCCTTGCCCCCGCAGTTCTATGCACGTGCTCAGGATAATTTCTTCCTTTTCTCTACTTAAATAATTTACACTCCATCATTGAGAAGTGCCGCACAAAGCATTCGTGACTTTAACGATATTAATTTCTTAACGCAACACAGTTTCCTCGCCGTTCGTTACGAACAGCATCTAGTAATACTACGATAGTAATAGTAATAATATGTACGAGACATTTTTCTAATTATTAAAGTAGGCACATATTAGTATTCTAATATGCAAGGTGCATACGTGCAGTTGCACATTTCTGGTTGGATCTTCAGTGTCTTATTAGGCACTATCATAATAAAAGCATCCATTTAAGAAGAAACAATTAATAATTAAGTACATATTGGTAGTTTAATAATCAGGATTCATATGTGGAGTTGCACATTCCAATTTCGCGGAGGATTTGCGGTGTACTTATCAATGGGGTACATTCTTACGTATTTTAATAATCTTAATCGATTGGTTACTCCAATGAAATTAATCGATTGATGCCCAATTCTCCGTTAAAAAATACTAAAATTTCTGTAATTCATTCTTATTTTCTGTCTCACTTCCACTTGTGTCCATTTCTGTAACCCGTTGGTGGTAATGTTGCGAGTGACACGAAAATGGTAGTGGAGTTCTAGAGCCCCAGAAAATTATTTTTAATTGTTTAATTATTTATTTAATAAATTAATGAAATTA